AGTCGTCGGCCATTTGAAGCTTCCGACTTACACATGCATGCACGATTGTTCTTTCAGCTCTGTCATTTTTAACGAGTCTTTAACTAGAATTTTTTCATCACCTCAGCTACGATACCTAAATAATATTCGACAATTTTAATTACATCTTCCCACAATGTCCTGCATGCTCATCAAATCTATGCAAGGACTTTTCCACGTAGTTAGATATTGACCGTCTACCAGGAATTTTGAATTTTAATCTAGCTGCCGCAAATGCACTGTATTCTATTTTTTAAAATCTCTATTCTGCATCGAAGCGCCAGGTGTATCTTTTGGCTTGAATGGCAGAATTTCGACCTCCAAAGCAGAAAGCTGACCAAGTGACAGTTGTCTTTAGATGACTCAAAGGTCACTGCTGGTCTGACACTAAAATGTTATGAATCGTTTATTCATGTTATTATCTACAACTGCGAATGAATGACTTGTCTTTTGCCTTGTGCTCAAAGATTTTATTCAGACGCTGTGATAACATCATCCTCCTCTTCCTCGTGTCTGATTAATTAGACTTGAGAAGCCTTTGAATTTATTTTGCTTTTGACTGTCGTTATGCATTTCAAAGAGTCTAAAAGACTTCTTTAGGTCTTGTAATTCACCCAATCTTTATCTGCTACGTTTGTTATGGCATTCGCCCAGGCGTCCCCTTGTTTAGTGGAAGTTTCGCAGCTTTGAAGACATTACACTCGGGCCTTTCTGTTAATTAAATTGGGTTGCATTGATTTTTGCCATTGACTTTCGCCGACGATAAAAATGCGGTTTTGATCTGCAGGTGTCTTATTGCGTTTTGGTTGATGAAAGCAGAAACATGAGCGCACCACTATTTGACTTGTTGTGCTCCAATCAGTCTCGCTTGATACCTGCCAAAAGGCTAGATTTTATTAAGTTTGGGTTGCAGAGAACCTCTTAACTACTAAGATGCACTAAAATCAAACTTCTCAAAACTTAATCCTTCTCTTTAAACTAAATGTACGCTAAGTATGCATTTAATGATTCTGGAATTTTGAATTATTTTCCTCAAGATCATGTACAGATTGTTTTCTTGAAGAAGTGAGCCATCTTCAGCTCCGACATCCCAAAATATGGCTAGAGAAAGACTGACTTATGCAACATTTGCCACATATCTCTTAGGGAAATAAGTTGTCAAATTATTCAGGCAGAGGGTGGTGAGTAAGGGAAGGGAAGGAAGAGAAATGGGAGGCGAATAAAGAGGGGAAGGGTGGACACTGTGAATGTTCTGCGCTTAGACAACGTGAACAGCAGTTGACAGTTTTTGGATGGAGGGAGAGGGAAGGAGAAAGCGCACTGCCAGTATATCCGAGAAGTAAAACGAAAAATCACGTGCCAAAGACAGCGTGGCAGGTGCAATAGATTCGCCAGGATTGGTACCTGACGGCCGCCATTTAGGTGCTTGGGTATCTGTCATGCTTCCAATGCTGGCAAAAGCAGGAGTTAGCTTGGCTGTAATATGGACGTTGGAGAGAAGCATACTTCTCTGATGAATTACTTTAATTGGATCACTGGACTCAATCATGCACTTGCGTGAGGCACTTTGAATGCGGAATCACCATAATAGTTACGTCAAGGTCATCCGTGTTAGCGGACCGATGGGTAAAACTTTGTAGGTCCAAACATAACTATCCTTACCACGAGACCATTTCACACCAATTTCGTATGCCTGTAGTTCGTTTAAGATCTATTTCAAGTAGAATTTGGTTGAGACTAATGGCTGTGTTGTTGAATGACGCCAGCATCATGGCACGGCACCGACAACAAGCCACTATGGCGGCAGTTTATTTATTTAAAGGATCTGCAAATTAATAGCCAAATGCCATGAGGCGTGTTGACATCAGTGTGTTGGTTTGTGGCGGCGGGAAGACGCTCATTAACGCAATGACCGGACAGAAGGGAGAGAATGACGGAGGTGAGAGTGGCTTTGAGGGATGGATGGGACCGATAATACAACACTGAGAACCACATGAACACAAAAGTTAGACTGATCCGGATCAGCTGCATTGATTGTCTCTTGAACGATTTGGAGAAGAATGCAACTTTGGTGACAAAAAAAACACTTACCTTTCGTTTCGGTCGGCTCACTTGTCAGTAGGTTTGATTGAATAATGTGCGATGCGTATGGAAGACATTGTCAGGGTTATCCATATATTTGTAAGCGTATATTGTCAAAACATTGATTATCCCTCTTATATTTCATGAATAATCCAAGCAGTCATGTGAGTAATCTTATCGATATGAGGTTAGCAAGTTTTATCTGCCATTTACAGTTTTGCAAAGGGCAATTCTGCTTAAATTTGGTACGTATTGAACTAAGAGAAAGCATATTCTGAAGCGACTGGGATAATTTTTCATGATATTAATTAATGTTACTAAATGCAATAATTTATAGGCCCCCTTCATTTGCATGTAGATAGTCGAGAAAGAGCAGTTCATGCAGGTGATGAGGGATGGACCAGTAGGCAATAGAGCCTTGGATTTATCGTCAATTGCATCGTTGGTGGGTTGAATGGGTCACCGCACTCCCTTGGGCAATGATTCATGCGTCCAATTAGCTACTTTGATGACCTCCTCTGTCTCGGATTGCAAACATCCATCGAACAGGAGAACCCTATTAGACATACCTTAGCCACATCTACACTCGGCGCTAACGTAACGTAGACTTTATCATAATGTTGATTTTCGTATTGTTTGATGATGCCAAATATGGCAATAGTTTGGGCTTAATAGTACTTTTTATGGTGTTGCGCTTGCCACCGGGCAGTGGGCGGAAATGAGCAAGCATTTTGATTGTTACCGTAAACCATTTAGCAGGTCAGGTATATTAATCAGATTTGAAATGGAAAGACCACACAAAAAAGTGTGCACTATCCTCAACAACAGCATGTGTTCAGTAAATGATATTTCATTGGCATTTTTGTATTCATTGACGAGTCCTTTCTCCGGTCAAAGAACAGTCTACCGCTGAATAGCGCACGGTTGTGGGAATTTAATTAGTTAGCAATGACGGTGACATCAAGTCATCAAATTTGGGTTTGTGAGGTGACCTCTTTCCAGCTCTCTCAGAGAGGTTACATTATTTTTAAGGTCACAGAGTTGACAACCCGTGAAAAGTTATAAAACGAGTGTGCGCGGCTACTTCCTCCTGTTGCCATTACTGTCATGGTGTAAAAGCGGTAGTGGTAATAAAATTTCCGTGCTTGCATAAACATTTCAAAACCTCTGCCTAGGTTACTAGGTCTGGTTTCCTTCAGGTCTCCCAGCTGATTTGTGTGCGGCCGTTTAAGTGGTAGTTTCAGCTTTTATATTGGGAGGGAAGAGATATCAGCAACGCATGGAGCATGCGTTATGAGCATTTATGGTGGCACTTATGGCGTGAAGCCAGCGCTATTAGCCGCGTATTAACAATTATGACTAGAAAAGTTGAAGTACTAACGCATTTGTTTTACATTTGACTTCGGAGGTTTTATACACAAGAGCGATAAATATGTCAATTGTTTGCTTGTTGTGCTGCGTGAGAATGCCAACGGGGATGCTGAATTATTTACTTGCTGGAATAATATATCTCGCTTGGCCATTTTTTTGCTTTTGCAAAATTCACTCAAGTTCATTTAATGTAACCAACACAATTCTGCCACACACTTTGTTCGTCATTTGCACGTTTATTTGTAACGACCCAAGAACCAGCGAAATGCATTTTCCTCGACGATAAACCCTGGATGCCAGAGAAACAGGAAAATTTAATAAAGGTCGGAAGCCGCGGCTTCAAAGTAAGCATGACCAATATGCCTGCAAGATTTCTTTTGCTTTTTAAAACGTAGTAAACTGGCTTTTGCAGCCTTAGAGATGGCAGCCATTATGATCTCATACACCAGCCTGAGACTACACTCTACCAATGGCTCTCATATCCGCCTGGCGTCGCCACCACCAATTCCACCTCCTCCGCAATAGACATGACTAGTTCTTGACGGTTTCAGCTCTGAGTGGTAAAGAAAATTAACAAAGTGGTTTACACCATAGTGATAGTTTAATGTTCCCGGGACTCTTTGAAAACATATATCGAACTGCGCACCACCAAAATGTTTTGTAAAAAGAAAATGCCATTGGAAATTGTAAGCAAAAACAAAAGAATAAGGAAACCTAAGGACTGAAGAAACTTAATTAGTAATGAAGTGCAGCCATTTGGAATGGCTTGCAATTAAGGCCGACAACAGTGGGATGAGAGATCTGCTTAGGAGCCCTCTTTCTGGTCGCCGCAAAACTGAGTTGTGCTACGTCGCTCTAGGCCAAGAATCACTTCCAAGATCTCTTCGCTCATCACACACCATCTCCACGGGAATTTAATTCGTCCGCATGGTGTACGCTGTAAACTAAAATGTAATGCACCCTTTCTTTCACTAAACTGTGCATTGTTTTTAGGTAGTTGCTTTCAATTAGTTTTTGAAGTAGGATTCCTATCGGTCTAAGGCCGTTTGAGTGAGTTTTGTCGGCTAAGTTGCCAAGAGTAATTTAGTGATGCGGTAGACGTTGCTTTCATCAGGTGATAGACGTACCACCGTGAAGAAAACTGCTTATTCGATAAATTGGGCTCCCATTACCGTTGTTAGCACGCAACTTAGAAACACCCAGAAACTTGCTCAATTTTTCTGTTACACAACGTTTGATCGTTTGCTTCATACGGAAATGCAGTGCGATTTCGTAAAACTGCAGGCATTAACTTGACTTTAGATTTCATTAATGAGAAGTACTGTCGTCCCACAAAGACCACCTTCTGAACTAAAGAGGACTATTACGGGTGCAGACACGGGTTTTGTTTATTGTTTATGACTGTGGCGCTACCAGTGCGCCGGCTGGTACTGTAATTTGTGCACATGAATCTCGTTGCATTTTTATTCACGGAAACAACTTAACATTACACCATCTGTGTTTTCAGAACGGACTATAACTGAGAGAAAATGAACGTCATTTCAATATCCGCTTTACTTTTTGCTATCTGCCAACTGGTCCGGAGCGCCTCAAATTGCCTCGAATTGATGAGTGGTAACAGTTTTGGTCTCTTTTGTCCCTCCTATTCCGGCTCCCTTCCTCCCACTATTTCAACAGGGAAACGATACTCAAAGCTCCAGATCGAATCGGCAAGTTTCCATTACGGAGGTGCAGTTCTCTCGAAAGCCAACTTCACTGGCCTTGAGAGTCTCACTTACCTGCGTATCACGTCTTCCGGCATCGAGAGGATCAATCCCGACGCATTTTTCAACCTCAGACATCTTACTCATCTCGATCTATCCAAAAATCGTCTAACTTTCATTGAACCTGGCACATTTAGAGGATTAAAGCTGAAGAAGCTTATTCTCTCGGGCAATATGGGCTTAAAACTGCCTTCGGCTGCACTTTCTGGTGCAAAAATATTCAATTTTGTCGCCAAAGATTGCGATATTCATTCCATTTCCTTTGCCCTCTTTAAACAGACTGGTACGCGGCATATTAGTCTGGTAAACAACAGAATTCGTACGCTTTCAGAGGAATTCTCCGCCCTCATCATGCCTTCAGACGGAAATTGGGGTTCAGTTGACCTGTCGAACAACAGTCTGGTTTGCGATTGTGCTCTGCTCTGGCTAGCCCAGCTTCTTGATAAACAGCGCAGATACATGGGTGATGCGTCTGCTGACCTAATCAGTGCACACTCTCCCAGGTATCCGCGTGAAACAACAGAAGAGGAAGCGTTCATACCAATGTATCGGTTAAATCTTACCTGTTCAGCACCGAAACACCTCGTACAACAACAGTTCCCTCTTCCTAGCGAATTTGATTGCCCTGCACCTCAAGTAACTGGAATAGACATAGCTATAATTGGAAAACTGATGGAGACGGTTCAGCTGACGTGCCACGCTCGAGGACGCCCAACACCAAATGTTGCTTGGGCTTTCCAGCAGCACAATCAGGAGGTGCATCGAATTGTGAAGTCGCCTACACAATTGCCGCCTTGGAGTAGTGACCAGATGGTGGATGTGTCAATTGGGCTCAATGTGAGCTTACGGGAGTTTCAAGCACGTGATTTCTCATGTATCGTATGGACTGACTCAGGGCTAAGCAAACCGGCACAGATTTCAGCCTCACAGGATAACTGGCTCAATGAAAGTCCTAGTTCTTCATCCTCTATTGTGCCCCGAGGTCCCCTTTCTCCAGACAAAGCTCATAGAGTCGGTGTTCGTTTGAGTGGTTTACATATGGATAACCATGAAGGTCTCAATGAATTGTTGAAAGGATCGCCAACAAACGATTCGACGTTTGACGAAAGCGACGAGTCATCGAGCATAGATTCCACCAATTTTAGCCCATATCAACAATTATTTATTCGAAGATTCACGCCACTAGATCTTATAGGCGCAATCGTTGGGACCTTTGTGACAACTCTAATGCTACTCTGCATAATCACCAAATGCGTACCACATTGTTATCACCGTAAACCTCATCCAACCAAACACGCTCTATTTCAGTATGAGAGGAAACAGGTTTTGACACCATTTCTGAAGGAAGAAGGCAAACATGAATCGGACGCCATGGAGCAGAACAAAGACCAGCCTCATCAGCAACAACAGCAACAACAGTCAGCGTATTTTGGTGAGGCAGCAACTACGGTTGGTTCGGGATCGGGCCCAGCATATTGGCCAGTGCAGGATTACGCCTACTCTACTCACGAGTACGATGTGCCGGGTATGGCGGATCCACTGGCCGGAGCAATGCCCCTCTCCCCTCACCCAATGATGGGAATGCCCAACGCTACAGGCACCTTGGTACGCAGAGGGCGGCCCATGTCTACCGCAAGCCTGCATCCGAGTGCTATTCAGACCCCTTATCTCTTCCCCAAAGCAGCCACCTCAACCACAGGTCTCATCCTACCCCCTGTGGCCACTGTTCCGCCCTTGGGAGTAGTCGCCTCTCCCTTCCTCTCTTACGCCACTGTACCTCAACCCCCATTGCCAAGTCAACAGCCCCCTGTCTACTTCGGTCACAATCATCAGCTCTCACTTAGTGCACTGCCCAACGGTCAACTGGTGATGACACCTACATTGAGTCGTAACGTAAACGGTACAGCATCGCAGCAGCCGGAAGAACCCGAGGCTTGCGCAGAGAGCAGTGTGACTAGTTGCAACTCTGAGAAGAGTGCGACGGAGCACCTCATCGGAGCATCAGAAGGACTGTCACCAACTCAATAGCCCAGATCACTGTACATCTACATTGCCATTGCTGGCGACCATCCCGTCTACTGTGTGACATTTTGTGGCATTTAATTTCCTCTTTCTTACGACTCTTTCCCAGTCTTCTTTAATCCCACTTACCTACTCACACTCAATCAATTCCTTTCCACTCTCTTGTGTGTCTGTCCGTGTTCGCAACTGTGGAAAAGGATGAGTTTTTCGGTTTCCTACTATTACATAACGATCAGAGATGAACATATCAGGGCTGTCACTCCATCATGATTACCAGTACTTTTCACATTTTGACTTTCCATTGCACCGAAACTGCTGCGCACCATGCATATAACTTTTCACCCCCTTGTCCCCTCCTGCTTGCCCTCTCTGACTTTAGGTAATTATAAATAACAGCAAAACCGACCCAACAGAATCCTTCTGTGAGGTCAAGGGATTGTGTAGAATGGTGGCTTAGACTCAAGAAACCAATCCTCTATCTCTTTCCCAGATGGTTTAAGCAAATTTTATTTACCTTGCCTACCTAGTTAACTGTGTATTAAACTTACATGAGTAATTTTTACCACTATTGTAAGCACATACAGACTTAATTTGGATAGAATTATCAATCTCTAGCTTAAGAGTCAGTTGGGCTGATAGTTAACTTATCTGTTACAGGGGCAGTCTAAACTAATAGCTGAGTATATCATGAAAAATTCAACGAATATGTGCCAGCTCTTTTAAATTTTATGCAGGGTAAACATAAAAAAAATGAAGTGTACTTAGGACTGTTATAAAAGTGATTGGAAAAGCTAAGCTCGAATTCAGTCAAATGCCAACTTGATAACAATTTTGACGCAGAATAGAATCGACTAACGAGCAGATGGAACCAGAAATAAAGTTGAGTCCTAAATGACAGTAAATCATCTCGTTCAGCAGATGATCTCGTGCCTTTTGTGTTGATGTCTTCGAATGGCTGCCAAAGGCTACTGCGGAAGTTGAGAGCATGGAACTCCGATATGTTGATTGCACATTTGACAAGAAAAATGGGAGGTACGTATGAATTTTATGCAATGAACTAAGAATGTGCATTCTAATGAGACGGAATTCTCGTAGATGTTTCATGGAGTGGAGGTATTCAATCATAACGCAAACCTGGAAATAACTTTAAATATTAGAAAACGTGGGCCATGTATGACTGTATTTTTGAGAAAATAACACCCACACGAGTGTGCAGGAGAGGCTGCCTCTTCCCGAGACACTTTGTCATCACCTGTAGTTGTGGTGGGAGGTAGTGGCAAAGTCATTTATAATGACTACAACGGAGGGAAAGTAGATAGACCTGAAGTCTAAGCTTTGACCCAAGTAGGGTAGTAGAAAGCGCGGATGGAGGCAATGACTCACATTGGCGCGGATGGTCAGTATTAATTACACTTGCCACACCTAGGCTCGCTTGAAATGATAAAGCGGACGTTAGTGACATGCCAAGGTGATAGCAGCAAAACCGTGTTCCGACGTGCAGACATGCGCGCTGCCAGTGCATCATCATCGCCACATTTATAAGCCAAACATCAGCCAGGTCTTATTAACTTCATCTCAAACAAGACGGAAGCAAGTGTCAAATAACTGCCCTTCAGATAATGACGGCGCCAAGGGTTGAAGAACTAAAGGTTCTACTTCGTTTACAGCATTGACTAGGAGTGTATGTGTATTCGCCCTTAAAAGAAGGGATAATATTTATTGTATTCCTTTTTCGGTTGTACAAGAGGATTTACCCCATGCAATGTCAGTTCCCAATGCTCAATTTACTGTCACAGCGATTCAATCCTGTTTTACAATAAATTAAGAGTTAAAACAAAGGAATGAAAATGTAGCATTGCTTGTAAGACTTTAAGGCAATACTTCATGAAATGTTATCTTACTAGAAGTTTAAATTGTTATTACTTTAGCGGCGTAGGAATGCGGCCTCTTAGTGAACGCCACGCAAAGGTCCAAGTGGACGAGTCGCAGTTGTTTGCATGGCTTTCGTGTTCTGACATTATGGCAGTATTTTAAAACCTTATTGACATACAAGTGTTAACGTGGCTTTATGGATAAAAGACGTAAAGATTTTTATGGGCGAGGGCACGAGTGTGAGTTTGTCGAACGAGTCTGTTAGCTGCTGTCGTTTATGCGCCCAAAAAATTCGAGTATTTCTAACAACTTTCCCATTAAGACCTACCCGTATGGCCCATGTCAGCCCCATTTGTCACAGCTTGATTAACTCATATATAAAATTGGCAGCCGTGAAAAGGGTAAGTGCTTCTTAAAATTGACGTCCCAACGTTTCATCAGCTCTTCACTTTTAATTTAGAAGAAAACGTTATTTTTAAAAATAGTGTGCGAATTCTAAGTGTCTGCTTGGAACTGCCTTTGAAGTGCCATCGCAAACTGACTTCGCATTCATCCTATTGGTGAGGTGAGGCGACTCAAATGTGTGCTGAGTGAATTTGCTTAACGATGCGACTGGTCTCTGTTTTTGATACTGAATAACTTGATTATAGCTGCATTCATTTTTTAAGATGTACAATTAGTAGATCGAAAGCACTTTTCTTTCTATATTATGCACCCAATTTTTGTTTCGATCAACAGTTTTGGACTTTCCCGAGGACAGAAAACTACATGGAAAATCCAAAGTTGTGAAATAATGGCTTACCACAATGATCGGAATACCCTTTTTACGGCACCAGATGGTTAGGTGCCGCCAATTTAGGGATTCCTTAAAGGTCCGCAAAAGCGGAACTGGTGGCGTAATAAGCTATCTCAACATTTTGCCGAAATTGCTGTTGTTCGCTTTATTTTGGATTGGTCAGCTGCGAAACTGTAAATGGTGGCACAAAATTTTGCCCCTTCCGCTAGGCCCAATGCGAAACAATAGATTTAGCACAAAATGCTTTCAAAAGAATCCACAACAAAGGGCTGCAAAGAGCATCTTTCGCAATGTCACTTTAACTGCAGCGACAACCATGCAAGTAATGCATGAGTTGGGTTGTTTGGCTACTCCCTAACAAACCCACAAGAAAATGAATGCTTTTAGTGATGGCATAGCTTCACTGTTGTGCCTCATTTAGAAATACGATTGCCATTTAAAACTCAATCAACTCTTGGATCACTTTTGGTCACTTGCTCTGCGAAGCAAAGTTCTTAAAAGGCAAGTAAAAATGGGCGCTTGAGTGAGCAAAAATGGTGTGAGTTGAATGCGATGAACTCGGAGGTTCTTCCAACCTGGCCCAAAGTCGAAACATTTCTCATTGTCACTACCGCAGGCTGCTAGTAGTCTGGCAAGTACCGCTGCATGATTGGACATAAAAACCGAAGTGGTGGCGACGCCTTGAACAGAGTAAAATAAGCGCAGTCCCTGACACCTTCCTCTCCAAGTTCTTGCTAGTGTTTCCTGCATGACACTCACAAACAGCGTAGTTCCACATACTTTTAGGTTATAAAGCTTCCATTATTTTAGAGCAGTATCAGAATGTTTGCAAACAAATGAGACACAAGAAAAAGCCATGACTTCATCCCACATCTTATTTGCGAGATTATCTGCCGATCTTCACTTTACCATTCGATGGATTTAGGTGGATCAGCCCGGTGCATCCACAGGTACCTTGGGGTGATGACCGAGAGCTTGGACGCCGATGTATGCGAGCTTTGTGAAAGCACAAGGTGGCTGTGACCATAATTGGAATTTTTTGTCATGAATAAATCGTGTTTCGCCATTAGTTTCCTTGAACAGTGGTTTTGCTAACTCTGTAAATCTGTTTTCTATTTTAGGTGCGACCTCAATAGGTTTTCCATGATAAGAAGTTTCAATGTACTGTTTAAATGTGAACGTCTGTTCGAAACCAAACTTGCTAAATGAAACAAAACTAAGCTTTGGAAAAAAATAGGAGAGAAAAAGTAAGCAATGCCAACATTTCTAAGCCAACCTCTGCACACCGAATTGCATCATGTTGTGATGTCTTAATTGCAGTTGGTAAAAAAGTGGTCCAGGTACAGGTTGTTTTGAAAGAATGCTAAGGGTTGTTTGGCGTGTTGGAAAAAATATCCCTTTACATTATCCCCTGAACTGGAATGATGTTGTTAAGACCTTGGATGTAAACAGATGGGAAGACGAATTTTGGTCCTATTTGGCCACACATCACCGGCTATTCCTTCTTTATTTTACAATATTTACAAAGATTGTTTTAAAATAAGGAAAGTGCTTCCTGCTGTAATGCCTCAAAGAACAGTATTGAATGGTGGAAGGCTTGGCAAATCCTCGGAAATTAACCTGCGGGCTTGGACTGCTCACATATTGAAGTGGTTCTTCGGCGCCTGATTGGCGGCTCGTACCACACGTGGGCACCGCTCATCACAAGTGTTAAGAAGTGTGGAGATCTCCTCATCCGACAAAAGGCACATTCACATCCAACACTCGAATTGCTCGTGCAACAGCTAGGCCACTCTCAGAATGAAAATGCCAGCGATGTTCTCATATTTCCTTATTTGCCAGCCTGGATGCATTGGCTGCCAAGCTCCATGATGAAGCGCTGTCTCATAATGCAGGTTAACAGTAAACATCTCAAGTGCGATCAACTTTACATAATGCAGACAACAAATTTGCTGTCTAAACTGATTAACTACGATGTAAAGAATGTAATTTGAAAACTAACACTCGAATTTCTTTCGAGCGCACCACAAATGATTACTTTCCAATCTTATTCATTTTGACGAAACAGGTACGGGCAAAACTGGACTACTCTGCCCTTATTATTAGTTTGTTAAAAATATTTGCGATGAATAGGGCATACTTGATAGATTTTAATATTGAAATGAATGGCAAGACTTTAAGTCCGAAAAGGATTTGGGACTTCGTCATGGCTTCACTTGCGACAGACCCCGGAAGCACATTGAATGACAGCCTGTCATCGCTTTTCACCTCAACCTATGATGACCTCCAAATGTCAAAATCGAGTTAGCTAAAGGCACCTCCGTTATGCTTTCCTCCA